GAAGATTTGCTTTTGATGCATAGCTCTGATGATTAGTACAAGATTGTATTTTAAATTTTTGGACCTTGTGTTTGGTCATAGTAGATTTCTTGTACTAGTGGACCCGAATGTATATGAATATGTATTTCTTTGGTATGAAATATGTATTACATGCAATGTGTGGGTTGGGACGTTACAAAATAAGACCATACTATAATATCGACTGAGATAAAAAATAAACTAAAATATTAAAATCAAGACATATCTCACTGTATTATATGAATATCCTTCTGGTTATATTATAAAGGCTAATGTAACATTCAAGATTGTCCGCCCAAGTGGATATTTATATAATAATATTATTATTGAGTGGGTCCCAAAAAAGAATTTTGGTCCAAAAGAAATCTTGATTCTTGATAAAGAATGTCATTTTTGATGGCCATGAAACCAAAAAAATCACATTTTTGATGCTTCTACCTCACTTCCATTTCACAGATTCAAAATCAAAATCAAACTTGTGGACCTCTTTGAGTGCCTTCTATCCATCGTTCTTAAATTCCCATATGCTATAATGTCATCCACCGCTTCTAATCACATTCCCAAACCTCTCTACCCCCGAATCTCTTCAAACTTTGGTGGTTCTCATCACCAAAACCCTAATAAATCTTGAACATGTCTTTCACAATTAAACTCCGAATCGCTCCAGCCATTTCGCATTTCGATCTCAATCGCAAAACCCATAAAAACTCCACCATTTCACGGACACCCATTTACCATTCCAACCAATTATCCACTTCCCTCGTGTTTCGTACCAAAAAAATGGTGTCTCCCATCATCAAGAGTTCTTTGATCGAGCCAGACGGTGGGGTTTTAGTTGATCTGGTCGTACCGGAGAACCAAAGGGATTTGAAAGCTTCAGAGGCTGATGGAATGGTGAAAGTGCAGTTAACGAAGATTGATTTGGAGTGGGTTCATGTGATTAGTGAAGGATGGGCGAGTCCATTGAAGGGTTTCATGAGAGAAGATGAGTATTTGCAGAGCCTACATTTTAATTCACTGAGATTGAAGAATGATAATGGGTCTATGGTGAATATGTCTTTGCCTATTGTTTTGGCCATTGATGATGAAACTAAAGAGCGAATTGGGGGTGCTAATGATGTGGCTTTGGTTGGACCTGATCAGAAAACAATTGCCATTCTAAGAAGGTTTGCATTTCTCTTTGATTATGTTGAAATGCAGTATTTGATGTCTTTGATTAATAGCTTTTTTGTAGTTTAAATCAGAGTGTATCTTTGTGTTTGGATTAAATGTGAAAGATGGTAGCTTTCTGGAGTATATGTGGCAAGCTTCATGAGTTCAAGATATATGAATATGAAGTTATAAACATGGTTTTGAGCTCACTAATGAACATAGATTTGATGAATTAGAAGGAAACCAAGAAGATGGGTGATTGTTTGAATGCATTTGTTTTAAAATTGATCACTAGATTGAGACATGACATGTAGATTACTCATATAGGGGAAGGTTTAAATCAGAACTGCAAGTATTTTGAGATAATGGAAACCAACTATTCATGCATTATTCACAATGAATTTCATGATAAAAATGCATGATGCTTATGATGAAAGTGTGATATCATGAAATATGAAAATGTATGATATTCATGATTATTTAGGGTTATTCATCATGAATAATACATGAAATAGTTGGTTATCAAAACCGTAAATATTTTTATAGCATGGAAATCAGCTATTCTTGCATTTATTCACGATGAATGTCATGATAGATATTCATGATAAAAATTGCATGATACCATGAAATATGAAAATGTATGATATTCATGATTATTTAGGGTTATTCATCATGAATTATACATGAAATATATTCATATATCTACCTTTATATGTGAGTTTGTAAGTTTATCTTCTTCTTTTTCCTCGCAATCTAGGAAATTTGCACTCAAGTTGTTCATAATGTTAAAACCGAAATAATAAGTTGCATCATGACTTACTGTCTTTCTTTTTGGTGTCAGCATTGAGATATACAAGCATAACAAAGAAGAAAGGATTGCTAGAACGTGGGGAACCACAGCTCCAGGATTACCTTATGTTGAGGAAGTAATAACGCCAGCCGGCAATTGGCTCATTGGTGGAGATTTAGAAGTGTTGTCTCCTATTAAATACAACGATGGTCTTGATAACTACAGGCTCTCTCCCAAGCAACTTCGTGAAGAATTTGATCGCCGTGAAGCTGATGCAGTTTTTGCTTTTCAACTAAGGAATCCTGTGCATAATGGGCATGCATTGCTGATGAACGACACACGTAGGAGACTGCTAGATATGGGTTACAAGAATCCGATTCTTTTGCTTCATCCTTTAGGGGGATACACCAAAGCAGATGATGTGCCATTGGATGTTCGTATGGAACAACATAGCAAGGTACTTGTTACGCTTTCATAATAAGAACCTACCGTAAAATATCATACTTTTTTTGTTCCAAATAAGGCTTCTTCTTTCTTTCAATGACGATACAGTTTTAGGTGTCAAAGGTGTTACTTGGTTAAAATTAAATGCTAGTTTTTATAATTTAGATGTAATTTCTTAATGATGATGAATAAAGAGGGTAAATTTTTGGAAAGAGGTTGATAATGTTTTTTTGATTAACCTGGATATCCAACCCGCTATGCGAGCTGTCTAATCCCTGGGCGACCACCTGCTTTGCAGATAGCCCAGAGTCACCGCATTTGAACCTCCGTGGTCACAAGGGGATTTTTATTCCTCCTTGGATTTGAACCTGGGACCTCCTGGTACTTTGGACCTATGGATCTAAACTCAAACCAATCAGGCACCACCCTTGTGGTTAGGTTGATAATGTTTTGAAAATGAAATTTTTGGAAACAGGTTGAAATAGATGGGTAATCTCTTACAAGAGATTTCTTGATAAGCATTTACCTATTTACGAGTTCAAGTGGAATTTTTTTATATAAATTCAACATTATAATATTCTTAGAGGTAAAATATATAATTACAAACATTCAGACAAATCGGATTCTGCTTTCAAACTTCAGCACCACCTCTTATGATAAGAAGTTAAACGAGACTTCAGAGTTTAGCACCTCTTAAAAACATAAACCCCAAAGTTCTAAAATACTCTCCATCTACTTGCTATTAGAGAGAATGTGAGACTTCAAGGTCATGCTTGTCAAAAAACCAAACACACTCAGTATGTCCCACTCGGGAGTAGGGTGTGGGGGTGAGATGCATACAAACTTGCCCTCTACCCTAAAGAGTAGAGCACATGTTTCCTTGAAGATCCCCGATTTGCGAAAAAGTGTTTGCAAAATCTTAATGAAGACCTGAGTGCTTCAGAGGGTTTGTCAAGAAAAGTGTAGACATATTTTAAAGATTTGATTCTTGTTCAGGTCTTGGAAGATGGCGTACTTGACCCCAAGACTACGATCGTGTCTATATTTCCATCGCCAATGCATTACGCGGGTCCCACTGAAGTACAATGGCATGCTAAGGCACGAATAAATGCAGGTGCTAATTTCTACATCGTGGGTCGTGATCCTGCTGGGATGGGTCATCCTACTGAGAAACGGGATTTGTATGATCCAGATCATGGTAAAAAGGTGTTAAGCATGGCTCCTGGCCTCGAGAAGTTGAATATTTTGCCATTCAGGGTATGCTTTTCTTCGTCTTCACATAATATTTACTTGGTGACTGATTGGAAATTAATAGTCTCTTCTTGGTTTCTTCTTTCCCTTGATTTCTTTCATGGCCGATTGTAGCTTTTAAGATTCTTTGCCCTCTAAAGGGTATTCTCACTTTTTTGCTGAAAAACAATGGCAAAATGCATAAAAATGCAACAAAGATTCAGAATTTTGTAGTCTATACCCATTTTGCTCTGACATTGATGACGTGGTCACCGGTTTAAGAAAGGGTTACAGTGAAGTTGATGATAAAACTTGACATCCATGCCTTCAAATTTGACAAGATCGGAGCATGTTAGTGGTCAAAATGGGTAAAAAAATAGGAAATTTTGGAACTTCGTTACATTAAATAGGAAAATTTGAAACTGCTAACCATAAGGGTGGTGCCTGATTGATTTGAGCTTGGCTCCAAAGGTCAAAAGTACCTGGAGGTCTCAGTTTCAAATCCAAGGAGGAATAAAAATCCCCTTGTGGCCACGGAGGTTCAAATGCGGTGACTCCGGGCTATCTGCAAAACAGGTGATCGCCCTGGGATTAGTCAGCTCGCATAGCGGGTTGGATATCCAGGTTAATAAAAAAAAAGAAAATTTTGAAACTGCATTGTATTGATTGAGAAGATTTTTTTTTGTTATACTAAATAGGAACCAAGGCAAATTTCGTTGCGTTTTGCTCAAAAAACAAATACGGAACTATCTATTGATTGCTCAATTTAGTTAAATTCGCATCTTTATAGGCCAAAGAAAGATAAGAGAAAAGAACAGTAACGTAGAGCTTTTATTAGTCCAAATATCTTTTAGAAAAATAGATTATATTCGTATAACGTTATAAGTCAATATTGAGCTCTGAACGGTCGTGTTTGGTTGTCACCATGAAAATTTATATATGTATTAAGGTAAGAGTATTTCAAGATTGGTTCAGAATCACGTAGACGTATCATGATAAAAACGTGTCTTAATCTACTAATGTTTGTTACAGGTGGCTGCATACGACACAGTGGCTAAAAAGATGGCTTTCTTCGACCCTTCACGTGCTAAAGATTTTCTTTTCATCTCTGGAACTAAGGTCAGTAGTTAAATATCTGGTTTGTCCGATTAACTTGTGCTCCGTATTTCCGTATGCATCAATTGACAGTTAAAGAAACCATGGAATATACCGTTTTCTGATAAATTTGAGAACTTGGTATAACTAAATTATCTGATTATATGCTTCATGGAAACAACCGCTCTACTCTTTGGAGTAATTGAAATAAAAAAGAGTTTGTGCAAGCAAACCAAATGAACCCAATATATCCCACCTGGCTTATTCCATATAGCCATTTTGGCTCAATGGCTTGATGAATAAGCCGTAAAGTACAATTGAGTTGTAATCATTTCTCTATCCTCCCCATAACTACAAGTCTGTGAAAAGTTCTGCTACCCCACAACTACTAGACTCGACAATCGTTCTTATGCCCTATGAAGCTTGGTTCATTGTTACACCATAATGAAGACGATGAAGCAATTCGATTTGGCCAAAATCCATTCCACTATGAAATTCCTCTCCTACGACGGACATTATCGATGGTGGCATGAGCCGCCACTCCCCCTTAGTGGCTCCGCCTCTGCTGGGGAGGGTAAGATGTATGCAGACTATTCCAGCCCAAGGGGTCGAGAAATTGTTTGCTAGAAAGGCAAATTGCATGAAAATGTAATGTACCTTGTTTTGATTCCTATCTTGTGTAACGTACTTTCAAAATCTTCATTTTGGTACCTCATATGTGACATCTCAAACATTTAGACCAAAGTACATTACCCGAAATAGGAACATTAGCAAACTACGTTCCATTTCCATGCATTCTTATATATAAACTATGTATCTAAATGTTTGAGATGTCAACATCTGACAAGTTCTGAAAGTACGTTACATAAAATAGGAATCGGGTTAAAGTAATTGCATTTTCATGCAATTTGCATTGCTAGAATCGGCAAATGGATATAATACATAAAAAATCTACTCTCTTGGTGCTTAAGCTTTCTTCTAATTCAATCGGCTTTTTGTGGTACTTGATCCTTGTTAAAATACGTGCAGTTGAAATCATCGTTTTCTGCTAAACTCGTTGTAATGTAATCTATTCGGGTTAATTTCAGATGCGAACTTTTGCAAGAACAGGGGAGAGCCCTCCAGATGGTTTTATGTGTCCGGGAGGATGGGATGTTCTTGTTAAATACTATGCAAGTTTGCAAGTCGAAGAAGCTACACCGGCTGCAGTATCCGCTTAGAGAAAGGACTCGGTTTTTTATTTAAAAAAACGACTCAATTGTAGCCGTTTTTCCTTTTTGGTTTGATTTTTTGCTAAAATTTTTCGACTTGTATCCGATACTAGGTTGTAATTCATCGGATATCGATGGCTGTTTTGGGCATAATTGGTTTTCTTTGTGAAGTTGAAAGTTTAAGATCAAAATGGATTTGTAGGATTATATGCATTGCCCTACTTTGCTGTTATGTGTCTTTCTTTTTAGTTCTTGATTTTGAAGATTTTGGATTTTTTTTTCTTCAACAGATTTTCAGAATTTTCTTTAAAATGGAGAAAATATTAAAATATTAAGGGGGCGTTTTGTTTGATAGAATGGTTTGAGGATGGTAATTTGCCCGACCCGAACGGGGATTCCCCGTTAAAACGGGCCCTGGGGCCGGGCCGGGATCCCCGGTAGACTCAAACAGGGGTCGGGTATCCCCAATATACTCAAACCGGGGTCAGGGATCCCCGGTAGAATCAAACTAACGGATATTTTTCATGCGGTTTGATGAGGGATTAATAGAGATTTGACCGAGCACTTTTTTCCTTTTATCGAATGTTTTTTATCCTTTACCACATCAAAATCGATTTTATGACATTGGTCCCAATGGTTTTTAATTAGGTAAAAGACAAAGAAATTTGATAAAATAACGAAAATACCCTTTGTTAAGATAACTTTTTAAAGATCTTTAGAGAAAGGAACTGAATCTACATGTTTTTGCAAACCACAATGACCATTTTATAATTTTGAAACTGAAGGGACGAAAAATGTTATCTATGACAAACCACAGGGACCAGATTTGTAGTTCACTCTAAAACGAAGTTTTGCCTACCACATTCTTCGACTATATTACGTCATAAAAAATATTATATTTATAATACATAATATTTAGTTTTAATTTTATTTTTAACTTAAAAAATATTTTTAAATTATTAAAATTTATTTTAATAACCTTGTACAAATCCCTTGAATTAATGCTATATTTGGAAAACTAGCTAATAAGTTATTGTTAATTAAAAAAATTAGTTGATTAATTAATCATGATTGATAAAAACTGATTAATAAAATGGTGTAAAAAATATAAAATAATCAAAAAAGAAATGTTAGAAACATCTATCAATTCTTAGACTACATAATGTGCTTAAAACAAAGAATTAATAATATAATATGTTAATTCATATAAATAAGATAATAAAAAACTTAAATAATAAATATATTAATTATATTACCTAAATTTAATAAAAGTAAACTACAATTTTAGTCCTTGTGGTTTATACGAATCATCAAAAGTGGTACCTAGGCTTCAAATACAATTAACATCCCTACTGTTTGCATTTTGCATTGAAAGTCGTCTGTGGTCGCTAACTTCGTTAGATTTGTTTGTTAAGTAAAGGGCATTTTGGTTCTTTTATCTATTGTTTTTGTCTTATTCTGTTTTATTTATATTTATTAATTATGTTTTTTTTTTTATTTTCTTACTAAAAAAATCAAAAAGGTAATATTATATTTAGTAGTTATATATATATATATATAGAGAGAGAGAGAGAGAGAGAGAAGCGATCAAATGAAAACCACTACAATTTGTAAAAACCGTGCAAACCACCCTCATCCGTCGATTTCATTATTTAATCTTATGAATTTTTTTCATGAAATTGTTTAATCTTGTGAAATTGTTTCATATAATACTTTTTTTGATGAAGTTGTTTCATATATGGTTATGAAATTGTTTCATATATGGTTATGAAATTGTTTCATATACTACTTAATGAAATTTTAATGAAACTGTTTCATGTATTTCTCTAAAATTAAAATAATGAAGATGATAATATCCATGATTAACACCCATCCACAATAAAAATGATTAATCAACCTCTCATAATTACAAAAAAATAAGCAAAATGAAAAATTATGATTGGTTGAATGAGGTTTTTACGGTTTTTACAAATTGTTTCATTCGATCAACTTGGTAGATCCAAAAAAGAACACCCACTGAACGATTTGGAAACTTATGCACACATCTTGGAATGAATTGGTGATATTTGCAATCGATGATTAATCTCGAATCCCTCTCATAAACGAAGAGAGGGTGGCTAAAATAACAGGCGAGATTAAAATGAGATATTTGTGTATGTGTGTTTGCAGGTCTGGATGTTGTGTTGGAGTAAAAAGATGTGAGTTGTTCACAGGAGAATACCGTCGGAGACGTGAGTTATTCACCAGAGATGTTCAACGGTGATCGTCTTTGTGTCCATGTTGTTATATATGTGTTTATGTATATAATGTCAACATAAATTAGAGTAAATTACAATTTGGGTCATATGATTTAACTAAATTATTAACTTCTCCTTCTAAAAGTAAAAAAGACAAAAACACCCTAACTTAATGGGAAAAAAAATAACAGATTTGAGTCGAGGGACGACTTTCAGCGCAAAATACAAACAATAGGGACGTTAATTGTAATTATTGAAATCTAGGGACCATTTGTTATGATTTGTGTAAAACACAGGGACCAAAAGTGTAGTTTACTCATTTTATTATTTATGAAAAAAATATAATTTTTATCTTTATATAACTTAAAAAGGCACTTTTAAAATTGCTATATTTAATTTTTGGTTGACTAAACCATTAAATAATAACATAAAAATAAATCTAAATTAGTAATTAAAAATTAATATTTACCAATAATTTTTAAGATTAGTCGGTTAAAAGCTTACCCGGGTAAGCATTTACCAAGTCACATTACCTCACCGGATGAATATGACAAAAACCAAGAATTTTACCTGGTAAGCACGAAGGCAAGGATCGGGAGTCTTACCCGGTAAGTGATGGTGACAACTCTTACCACAATTAGCGGTTACTGGGTAAATTGTTGTATATGATGCCGTGTTGGTGGACTAAAATCTTACTCGGTGAGTATGTGATAGTGTTGAATTTTATTGGTAAGCGCTTATCAAATAAGTGCTTGGTAAACAGCAAATCTTTGAATAATATCAATTAGGGTAAATTGCGTTTTTCGTCCTTGTAGTTTGTTAAAAATTGCTATTTTCGTCCCTATATTTTTGAAATTGTGATTTTCATCTGTGTCTTACAATTCATTGTTATTTTCGTTCTTATGATTTATAATTTATTGATATTCTTGCATCTGTGGTTCGTAGTTCTTTGTTATTTTAGTTCCGCATACTTAAAGGTTAAAGTTAGGCTCACAAACGAAAATAACAGTAAATTGCAAACGATAAGGACGGAAAAAATAGTTTCAAAACCATATGAACAGTTCACAATTTTTAACAAACCATAGAAATAAAACCCGTTATTGACTATAGTATTTATTATAACATAAAATAATTAATATGATTGGTAAGAATTCAAAATAATTATTAATTAAAAATTAATTCTAACTAATTAATATGAATTTACAATTAAGTAGTAATAAATGGTCTTAATAAAAATCAACGTATAATTGAAAAAAAATGTCAAAAAACTCCTGAACTTTATTGAAACACTATTCTAAGTAGCATTTTAATAAGCTAACTTATCCGCTAATTAGCTTATGACTGTCTTAAAAACACTTCTAATAAGCTCAAAAAATAAATTAGCTTAACTAATGGCCGTTTACCTAAATGTTTACCCGGTAAGTGTTTAATATTAGGAGTCAACACTATAATTTATTTTATTGGGTAAGATTATAGTACATCAAAATGCATCCTATACAACAATTTACCTGGTAAGCGCTTACCCGGGTAAAAGTCGTCACCCTCACTTACCGGGTAAGACTCTCCATCTTTATCATCGCTCTTACCGGGTAAGATTCTTGGCCCTTGCCATGTTCATCCGGTGAAAAAAATTACCCGGTAAGTACTTACCGGTTAAACATTCAGTAAACGGCCACTAAGTACAGTTTTCTTTGGACTTGTTAACGGTACTATTTTTTTTTTCATTTTATGATGCATAAAGATTTTACAAAAATGTTTGACGATCATAAGTGCATTTTAACGACGACAAGCTACGATTTTTTTGTGAATCAAAATGAACGATATTGATCAGTGATAATATGATAAAAGACAAACATATTTCATACATCGTTTTTAACAAGAAACCGAATAGTCATTGTTCATTATCACGCCGATCTGAAATCGACAAAATAGTACATGATTTGGTAGGAAAATAAAGCGACCACACAAAATTAAGTAGATTCTATGTTTTCTTATATGGTTATAGAAGTAAATATTGTAGCATTTATTGTTTTTGCACTGTTTTTTATTTTAGTTTCCACTGCTTTTCAAGCCATGATTGACATGTCCGCCACCAATATTGTTTGAAAACATGGTTGGCATCTACGCCATCGGTATGAAAAGTACCTTATGTGTGTGTGTATATATATATAGAGGGCGTTCCAAATGCAACCCATCACATTTGTACAACTAGTATAACCCAATCAATTGAGATATTTATAGAAATGATGAGAGTTCATTTATTATGATTTGAATATTTATGGAAGATGACTAAGGTTAATTAATTATGATCAATACTTTATATTATGAAACAATCAAAACTTTTATGAAATTACATATTCATCAAATTAAATGGACGGTTGAGGTTGAGTTGTATTGGTTGTACAAATGCAAAAGATTGCATAATAATCCATCCCCTCTCTCTTTATATATATACTATATTATAAAGCATTTGACAAAAACTCTTAAAAAACCATTTTTTATGCATAAAGTACTGTATATTGATGCATATTACTTAAAATTCAAGATTACAAGTAAATTATGCATAAGTACAACTTATTAAAGCTCACTGTTTGAATTCATGTAACTAACTATGGATAAACATAATCAAATAAATGATAAACATCTCATTTTAAAATATAAAAAGTATAAAATATAATTATCAATATCTAACAAAATAATTAATTATTATCTTTATAAAAAAATTATATTATTATGACAAATATAAATTACTTCGTTATTGAACCTAAATTAAATTATAATAAAAAAATTGAATTAAAAAATTGCACAAAATATGAGGAATTTTAAATAATTAATTTGATACTAATATCAATATATTTTTGTCAATTTTTTATGATATTTAAATTTATATTTTATTCAAAATTAAAAACATAATCACTTTTTCAAAATCACATAAAACCATATTATAACATCGACTGAGATAATAGAATAAAATAAAATATTAAATTAAGAT